TCGGAAATTCCAATAAAGGATTTAGTTTTTATCAAAAAGAATTTATATTTACATGTTTCTTTTGTATTGTGTTGTGAGAAAAATAATTGTGTGTATATATAAAAGAAAAAGATAAAGGAATATCAACAACTTAACAAATAAGTGCAAGCAGTGTCAACAACAGTAATAGTAATTTACATTGCTATGTTAAATTGCTCTCTCAACAAAATATTTAACGATTTCCAAATAGTTTTTAAATTAAACGAACATATAAAAAATTTTTTTATACATTATTAAAAGTCAGTTCAAAAAATTATGAAATTTTGTCTGAAATTTGTGACAACCCTGATAATGCGCATCAGCTATGTCTCATCATTTAGTCATTAGTGGCGCGACATACCATGGCTCTTAGGGACGCAGGAAGGAGAACACCTCTTTAAAAATAAATGATTTTGTTTTGAAAATAAAATAAAATGATATTATGGATAATAGATGAGATATTGGAGAAAACTGTAGAGATTTTTCCAATTTAGATTATATCTTTATAAAGATATAACATGATGAGATGCACATAAATAAATTTATTTTTATATTCCTTTGCACATTTATACAATAATTTATTTGGATTTGCGAAATTGTAAAAATTATTTTTCTTTTTTACAGCAACAGGGAGGAAATGAGGAAATACTTTCCTGCGACGTATGCGGAATCACATACAAATTCATGAGTTCATTGACAAGGCATATGGTAACCACGCATATGAATCCTGAGAAATTGCGACAGCAGGCGGAGGAGCAGCGGAGGAAACGCGAGAACAATTACCGGAAGTATCTAGAAAATCGGAAAATGTACGAAACTCAGAATTATGGTACAAAACGTAAATATAACTCACTCACCGGGGATAACGACGAAACAGCCTGACTTCAATTTTGTTGTAGTTTCGTAAATCACACTAAGATTGTAACTCCTGTGAGAATGAATAACATATGTTATTAATATCTTTGTATCATTGATGACGTAGTGATAAGATATGCATTTAATTTAATAAGTATGTCAACATATATTAATTAAAAATACATATATATGTCATAGTTAGTATACATTACATTACGGAATAGAATGTAATAATGTATTATAAGCCATAACATACCCGTATAATCTATATCGAACACACACGCGCACACGCGTGCGCGCGTGTGCACGTACAAATATATACATAGAAAGAGAAAAAAATGCAACACAGATATATGTTGAAGATAAGATTTCTTTAGTCTCTTGCATGCACCAAATGACTTAAAATAAATAAGCATCATCTACACACACAAAAAAATGTTTAAAGCGTGCCTTAACCACTTACTCGTTCATTTGCACAATGTCTCGAGTGCTTTGAAGTAGGCATACTTAATATCGAATTCCATATCGTACCAATAATTGACGGACATGCAAGCGTGAGACTGTGTCACATGATGGAACCATAGAGATGGCAAGTACAATATATCTCCTGCTCTGAGTGTAACTTTCAAGCTATGTGTATTACGATATTCTGGATATCTATAGGTAAATTTTTTATTTTAAGTCTTTTAATCTCGAAAATAAATGTCATTTTGAAAATAAAACCACTACTATATATATATATACATATATGCGTGTGACTGAACTTTTCATAGTCTGGATTTAGAGGGTCTACACATATCCACGGCGTCGATGTGATTCCTTCTAAATCGGGCGTTTCATTGGCTAACGACTCGATGATCCATTTCCCGGGTTCATATTCCTTGTAAACGGCAGACGGATAATTTAGATATGGAATCCATGGTAAATCCGTGGGAGGGTGTAAAATGAAATTTTTTTCACCGGACACGACGCAATATATATTTTCGTAAGAATCTTTGTGCACTATAAATTGTAAAGAAAAATATGTAATTTAATTCGAATGTTACTGATTTTTAAAATTAAATATACATATTTACAAGATCATGTTTGAACGGAAATATATTTCGCAAAATTCTTGAAATTATGGGAAATGAAATTTACGTAACAACGATCATCCTGTATCACATTTACATTTGAGGTTTTTTTCACCGGATACGACACAATATATATTTTCGTAAGGATCTTTGTGCACTATAAATTGTAAAGAAAAATATGTAATTTAATTAGAACATTATTGATTTTTAAAATTAAACATATATATATATTTATAAGATCATGTCTGAACGGAAATGTATTTCGCAAAATTCTTGAAATTATGGGAAATGAAATTTACGTAACGACGATCATCCTGTATCACATTTAGATTTGAGGTTTTTTTCACCGGATACAATATATATTTTCGTAAGGATCTTTGTGCACTATAAATTGTAAAGAAAAATATGTAATTTAATTCGAATGTTATTAATCTTTAAAATTAAATATATATATTTATAAAATCAAGCCTAAACAGAAATATATTTTACAAAATTTTTGATATTATAGGAAATGAAATTTACATAACAAAATCATCCTGTATTATTTGAAGTTTTTTTTTCACCGGATACGACGCAATATTTTCGTAAGGATCTTTGTGCACTATAAATTGTAAAGAAAAATATGTTATTTAATTCGAATATTATTGATTTTTAAAATTAAATATATATATTTATAAAATCACGTCTAAATAGAAATATATTTTGCAAAATTTTTGAAATTATAGGAAATGAAATTTACATAACAAAATCGTCCTGTATTATTTGAAGTTTTTTTTTCACCGGATACGACGCAATATTTTCGTAAGGATCTTTGTGCACTATAAATTGTAAAGAAAAATATGTAATTTAATTCGAATGTTACTGATTTTTAAAATTAAATATATATATTTACAAGATCATGTCTGAACAGAAATATATTTTGCAAAATTCTTGAAATTATGGGAAATGAAATTTACGTATCAATCATCCTGTATCATTTGAGATTTGGGGTATCGAAATACTTTCGAGTATTTGTGTTACCAAGTAAAACGAAACTTTACTGGAAGTTACAGCTCTTTCGTCTCCCATCCAAAAGTTCACAGCGTCAGGCTGCTTTCCAAACGCTTCGCTCGCCCACGATATCTCAATTTCTGCGTCCGGCCACAACTTACGAAAACTTTGTATAAAATTCGAGTTTTGTTTCTGTATGTAAAATATACTGCTTTCTCTCCTGTTCTCTAACGTGTCGAGAAACATTGACATTGCGAGTATACGTTCCTCGGGCATTACGAAAAATTCCTTGTCGTCTCTTTTAGCTATCGCGTCTGCATAGCCATTTGGCGTTACAGCGACTGAAACCTCTTCATCGCCGATTACATTGCGAAAATATGGTATAGACCATTTTTCTATAGCAGGCCAATGTTGCACCGCGTCTCTTATAACTAATGGTACATTTTTCGAGACGTACTCTCGATAGAAGGCGAGCGGCGTAATTGAGTGATTTATTTCCGCAATTTCGCTATGCAAGTACAACTCTGCAATGTAAGAAATTGCAATAAAATTACATAAGTGTATAACAAAATGACTAGGGTTGGGTAAGTTAATATTTTTTTAAATAAAATTAAGTATTGACTTATAAAATTAATTTAGTTATAAGTTAAAATGGAATAAAAAAATTCTCGCGAATCTAATTACATGTAAAGACAACTAAAAAATATACAATATTTATAAAATATTTTTAAAATATCTCATGCATACAGCACATTTATCCGAGGGACGTCCTCTGGACGTGCTGTATGGAATCATACAAAAAAAATTAAATTGTAAAATTTAATATTTTTAAATTAAATTTTTATGGAAAAACATATATAATTAATTTTTTCATGTAAAAGTGCTGAATTTAATATTAAAAATATTGTACAAACATGAATAAATAAATTCCTGATCTTTGGAATAATTCTCGCGATCTTACATGTAAATTGGGCAACTAAAATATACAATATATTTATATATTTTTTAATTAAATTTTTATGTAAAAGCATATATATAATTAATTTTTTCATGTAAAAGTGTTGAATTTAATATTAAAAATATTGTACAAACATGAATAAATAAATTCCTCTTTGGAATAATTCTCGCGAATCTTACATGTAAATTAGGCAACTAAAATATACAATATATTTATATAATATATATTTTTTAAATATCCCAGCATACAAAAAAAAATTAATTGTAAAATTTAATATTTTTAATTAAATTTTTATGTAAAAGTGCTGAATTTAATATTAAAAATATTGTACAAACATGAATAAATAAATTCCTCTTTGGAATAATTCTTGCGAATCTTAAATGTAAATTGGGCAACTAAAATATACAATAATATATTTATATAATATTTTTTAAATATCCCAGCATACAAAAAAATTAATTGTAAAATTTAATATTTTTTAATTAAATTTGTATATAAAAGTATATATAATTAATTTTTTTCATGTAAAAGTGCTTTAATTATTTTATTTTTATATATAAAAGTGTTTAATTAATTTCATTTTTATATTATATATTTATCAAAATTTAAGTATAGAGAGGATTAAATTAAACGTTTAATTTCTGCAATCGACCGAGGGTTCGTTCGAGGAACGCGTTATCAACGCTATACTATGTCATTTTATCCTTATTGTTACAATTAGACATAAAACAAGGACGAAATAGTGCAATAACACTAATAATATAGTGATAGTACATAATACGATTCCCGAACGCAGTCTAAATACATAGCTAGGATGCTAATATTTTATTATCACAAGTTACAATGTATTTACATTTGCATAGTGTAGGGTAACTATCCCTATATATTAGTGTTTTTATATTTAAATAAGTTATAAAAATAAACTGGTACAAATAAATAGTGTTTTTTTTTATTAAGTTAATACTTTAACTTAAATAAGTTATAAAAGTAAGCTGGTACAAATAAATAGACAAAGTGTTTTTTTTTATTAAGTTAATATTACTTTAACTTAAATAAGTTATAAAAATAAACTGGTACAAATAAATTAATAGACAGTGTTTTTTTTATTAAGTTAATACTTTAACTTAAATAAGTTATAAAAATAAACTGGTATAAATAAATAGACAGTGTTTTTTTTATTAAGTTAATATACTTTAACTTAAGTTAAAG